TTTGATTGGTCTTGTTTTCTAATCTTCACTTGTTTTAAGAAAATACATGATAATCAAAAGTTCGATTAATACCTAATCTAAATAAAACGAGGTGAAATCATTTTAAATTGAGATATCTAATAAATAAATGAATAAAAAAACTATCATCACTGATATAAATATATTTCATTATCAACCCTGTGTTTGTTTTAGATGAATTAAAGAAAAGAAAATGAAGAATAAAATAAAACAATATTATTATTTAGATGAAACTTGGGTTACCTTATATTTACTGTTAGTGATATTTATTAATTAAAGTTAAATTTTTATTTGATAAAATATTTATATTTTATTTTATCACATATTATTAAAATAAAATTTAATTTTAATTAATAAACAACATCAATAATTACCGGACACAAAAAAGTTAATTTAATTTGAATAACATAAGTCAAATCTTGAACATCCTTAACAATATAAACTCAAAAAATAGTTATCATTTCATGAAATTTCACAAGATATATATATATATATATATATATATATATATAATATTACATAACTCCAATTTCTATTTAATAAAATAGATAAAATTTATTTAATGATTAATATAACAAAATTTTGCTTTTAACTCTAACATGATCCATAAACATTTCAAATACCCATCTATGAAAAAATTATTATTACTATAAGGCTTCCTTATATTGTTTTAGTGTGTTAAGTTTGTGGAAAGTTAAAAAAAAATAAAAAAAATAAAGAAAAACTTAATTATAATTTGTTTCATAACTAATGTTTAAAAAGCATAGACGGTAAATGTTAATGTTTATAAAGATACAACTGATTTTAAAAATATAAATTGAATTCCTTTATTTAATAAAAAATATTAATATGATAACTTATTCAATGTATATTTTAGTTTGATACCTAAAGATATATTTCATTTTTTCCAAAAAAAAAATTAGAATTACACAATTTAATATTTCTTATTTTATTTACATTTGATATAAAATATAAAATTTATATATCATTATTTTTTAAAGGGCAATAGTTTACTTTTTACCATTAGCACATAACTATTGTATAATTTTTTTTTTCTATTTTATAGGATAAATCCTACGGCATTATCTAAAATGACAGATTAGGTTAATAGTTTATTTGAAAAAAAATATAAATATTTTTAATTTTTAAAATATTAAAAAAATTACATTCTTCAATTAATGAAAAGTATACAATGTTTTTTTTATAAAGTTATTGTTAATAAAATTACTTATAATGAATTTAATTATTATCATTTTATTTGTATGAAATTTTATTTTGAATTTTTTTTCAGTAATTGAATGTTTTATTTTTTTATGATTTTTTAAAAAAAATTTAACTTAATATTTTTTATTAAAATTTTGATTTGAATAACCAAAATGTACATATTTATATAATAACTTAAAAAAAATCACGAGAAGGAAAAAATATGTTAATGTCAAATCATGCTAAGTATAATTTTTAAAAAAAATAATGATTTGTTGTTTCTTATTGAAATTTAATTGGAATAGCTGCATATCTTTTGAGGTTAAACAGATTCTAGAACATTTTAAACTGTGGAATACATTTCTCTGTTTTTTTTTTTCCACAAAACATTATACGAAGAAATAAAAGCTTGATTAATTTTAAAAAAATGTAAAGAATTTGTGTGTTGAAGTAGAGATTTGTAATGAACGCGCCGTAAAATGGTGAGTATGGTTGTTTTTTCTACTTTTTTTTTTTTGTGTTGTTTCAATCTTCTAACTCGTTGACAAATTACGGCATATTCGCCACGCAACCTTACTATGAAAAATTTTATCTCAAAAATTAAAACTAATGATTATGAGTAAAAATGTTTCAAATGCCATCTAAAATAATAATAAATAATGCCAATTTTATTTCTTTAATTGATTATGTGAGATTCTTTTATAGTTGTTTTTGATCTTTAGAAATTGTATGAAGATAATTCTCAAAGAAAAAACTTTCCCATCAAATTATTTGCATCCCTCTTGGTTTGCGATTACATTATCCTATGGATTTTGACTACATTAATTTCCCCCTTTGACAAATTCATATTGACCAGAGAATTTGCTTAATAGGAACATTTGGAATTTGACTAGATGAATTACAATTTTTTTTTCTGTTCTTGATATTATTGTGATAAATACTATGTGTAATTTTCAAATACATCTTGAAAACTGTATTTTTGAACTAAAAGAACACAGAAAAATGTTGTTTACTCTATAATCTAAGTAAGATATTTGTTGTTTTTTTGTTTTACATTCTCTAAGAAAGTAATTTTAAGAGGTGTATACAAAAAAATAAAAAGTAAAAAATAGAAATGATTATATACAGTATCAATACTTAATATTTAATTATTCAAAATAATAATGATGAAATCTATAATTATTTTGTTAGGTAAAGAAAAAAGACTCACCTCAAATGGTCAAACTAGACCTATCAACCCCACCAGGGAAGGTCCATGATTGATTAGAGAAATATTGCATGCTCAAAAATTGAAGAAACATGGAGGAAAGGGCAAAACCTCATCTCTACATTAAGCTCATGCTTCGTCAGACAAACAACACTACTGTACTTCCCCTCACGGTTAAATTTAATTGTGTTGCCACTTTAACCTCCAAAGCAATGATCATCTAATGCATGATTTGCATGAACAAGGATGCACAATTATGTTCATTTCCATACCCCCTATAAAAGAACCTAATGTTTTCTATGCTAATTCTAATATTATTAAAACACTGCATTTCAAAAATAATTTAAATTGTAAAAGTAACCATGATATATTTATATTTTATTTTTACTTTACCAAGTAAAGTTTTTGTGTCCAAATACATGATTCTCCAAGTTGAAAAGTCACTTAGTTTGTGGACTTCTCGATGCTATTTTACCAAAGAAAACTACTTTTAATAATGACTTTTGAACTGTACTTATTTTTTAACTGTTTAAACTAAATACATATTTTTCAAAAGAAAAAAAAATGCAGAGGAGTGACCTTGTAAAAAAAATATTTTTTTAAAATGAAAAATTTGTGCCTAAGTAGGACCAGGGAATATTTGCAAAATTATATCAATGCAGGACATTTGACAGTTTAGCAAAAGTTATTATTTTTCATTTTTGTGTTCAAAGTGTGTAAGTATTTTAAAAGAAAGAAAAAGTTAAAAATTTGTAGTTCTGTGAGTTTTCCTACATAAAAAAAAGTGATAAACAGTTTTTGAGGGTGGAAAGGTGCCTTGGACAGGCATTGCTTAGTAAATAAAAGCCCTCCACTCAAAGAATAAAATGTGGATCTTTCCTATGAAATCACGTGGATAGCAACGTGAATTTTGTCACTTAGAATCTGCAGTACGTTTCAAGGGTTGAATTGTTTCTTCATTGAAGTGTCATGCCAAGGTGATTTCCAAACATGACAATGTTTATTTTTACATCATGTAAATGTACAAAGACATGTTACAAAACTTGTGACAATTTTTAAAAAAATAAAAGTATAGAGATAAACCTTCAAGTAAAAACATTTTATTTGGCTCCATTCCACTTTGCAACTTGAACTATTCCTCATTATTTAAAAATATTCTATGCATTAAACTTTAAATAAAACGAAAACCCAACTGACTAAAACCAGAACGAATATTAATTTAGTTGACTAAAACCACTTTCCACCTTGTGTTGCAGATAGAAATTAAGATGAACTAAGATGATTTAGGATGTGTTTTTGAAATCGTTCAAGCACAAATTTAGCATGATGACAAAAAATAAAAAAAGCGAGTACAGATATAGTATATCTAAAGAATTGAATTAGTTGATACTCTATAACTAAAGCATTTTAATTTATCCAATACGAACTTGTAAAAGAAAAGAAATAAGTTTGATTTGAAATAATACTAAAACTTAGTTGATTTTCAATCTTTAAAAAATATAATATATTTTTTATTTGTATTCCTGAAAATTTATATACTCCTAGTCTTTAATAAAGCTTTAAAAGCACATTAATATTTTAAATATTGAAACTAAATAATGAATGACTATTTATAAGAATTAAAATAAAAAACCATATTTTTAAGCACTATTAAATCCCACAAAATAATAGTGCTTTTATAAACTGTGATGACAAACTATCTAATATCTATGTATTAAATTAAATGTAACAGCTGCAACTTGCCACTTTTTCTACTGTGGTTTTGGTAGAGGGCTGGTTATTCAGCTGCTAGTAGCAGAATCTCTATGTTACTAAATTTTTATTTTTTTTTATTTTGCATTCCACTTATTGGGCCTGTTAAATGGGCTTTTACTGTTGTAGGCTTTGATTATAGGAAAAAGCAATTTGATAGACTTTACCATGACCTAAAAAAACAAAAAGACTTTTCCTCGAAAAAAAAAAAGAACTAGACAAAATAAAAAACCTTGAAACAAAAAAGACTTCACTTGTTTTCACTCTTCTGGTTTTACTGTTAGCAAACAAATAAGTAATTTTTTTACTAAAAAAAAAAACTCCACAAAAAGAGAAGAAAAGACTTGTATGTTTTATAACCTTACTATTCGAGTCATGTAAAAAAGAACTTACGGTAATAAATATTTTAAAAAGTAGGACTATTTAATATCTTTATTTTTAAAAAAAATATTAAACACTTTTTATGTAAGTAAGAGTTCTGTAATTTTTTAAACTCATGTTATAAGGGCACACAAGAACGAAACTGTGAAAATAATGTAGTGTTGAAGCTTTTATACCAACTTTGTAACTATTTTTTTATGAAATTTATAGAATTTGACTCTTAAGGCAAATAATGCCCCCCTAATAGAGTAAATCACTGTGTTCCCATTACTTATGAAAAAAATTGCAAATTTTCCAGGATTAAAAAGTAATTAAGCAGCTGAATCCAAACAGACACATGGCAAGACATGAGAGGTCTTCTAACTTGCAAGGAGAATCTGGTGAGGCCAACCCTTCCTCAAACGTTATCCTATCCAGAAATCCCATGTTCCATAATGTAAGCTCCGTTTCTTGTGGCTGCAAATGCTTCTCTCAAATTTCATGGATGAATTCAAATCGCTCAAACCAACTCCATTCTGAAAATTAACTTTTTTAAAAAAATCCCTCTAAAAAAATCTCTTTTTTTTTTTTTGCCATCAACCACCAAACTACACCAATCTTTCTGACTTTGTCACAGTTCTTCCCTTTTTAACATTTCATGAACTGGAATCTCTACAACCCATCTTCAAACATAGTTGTCAAAGACTCTGCGGCCATCTGATACAACTTTCCTTGCATCATGGATCATAAAGTTCACCTTTTTCTGGTGCATAGCTATTTCTTCCAGTATCTATCTTCAGAATTTTGAGTTGATTTTTACTTGTATTGAAATGTTTCATCACTTGTATCTCTTGGACTAAATAGTGGGTTGCATTGTGTTTCTGTTCAGCTTAGCTTTTTAGTTTAACATGGTGTGAATGATATAGCATGACTGGGACATCTGTCCTTATTAGCCAAACCCATCTTTTGTCACTTCCACATAATCCAACTCAAAGCTCTGAATTGAACACCAGATTCAATGAGCAGGGATGGTTGCCTTTGCTGAAGAGATGCAAGAGCATGGAAGAATTTAAGCAAGTTCATGCCCAAATTCTAAAATTGGGCCTTTTCTGGGATTCTTTCTGTGGGAGCAATCTTGTTGCCACTTGTGCTTTATCAAAATGGGGCAGCATGGAGTATGCTTGCTCAATCTTCAGGCAAATTGAGAAACCTGGTAGCTTTGAGTACAACACCATGATTAGAGGGAATGTCAATAATATGAATCTTGAGGAAGCTTTATGGCTCTATGTTGAGATGCTTGAAGGAGGAATTGAACCTGATAACTTCACCTACCCGTTTCTTTTCAAGTCATGTTCGCTATTAGGTGCTCTCCATGAAGGAATGCAAATTCATGGGCATGTTTTTAAGACAGGTCTTGAAGATGATATCTTTGTGCAAAATAGCTTGATCAGCATGTATGGCAAGTGTGGGGCAATAAAGCATGCTGGTGCTGTGTTTGAGCAAATGGATGAAAAGAGTGTAGCTTCATGGAGTGCTATCATTGGTGCTCATGCTATTATGGAAATGTGGCATGAGTGTTTGATGCTTCTTGGGGACATGAGTAGTGAGGGACGCTATAGGGCTGAGGAAAGCACCCTAGTTAGTGCTCTCTCTGCTTGCACTCATTTGGGGTCTTCTAATCTTGGAAAGTGCATACATGGGATCTTTTTGAGGAACATTAGTGAACTCAATGTTGTTGTGAAAACTTCATTAATTGACATGTACATCAAGTGTGGGTGCCTTGAGAAAGGTCTTTGTGTGTACCAAAATATGGCCGAGAAGAATAGATATTCTTACACTGTAATGATCTCTGGGCTAGCCATTCATGGATGGGGTATGGAAGCTTTAAGGGTTTTCTCAGAAATGCTCGAAGAAGGTTTGACACCAGATGATGTTGTCTATGTGGGTGTGTTAAGTGCTTGCAGCCATGCAGGTCTAGTTGATGAGGGCCTTCAATGTTTCAACCGCATGCAATTTGAGCATAAGATCAAATCAACAGTTCAGCACTATGGCTGCATGGTGGACCTCTTGGGGAGGGCTGGTATGCTTAGGGAAGCCTATGACCTCATAAAAAGCATGCCAATTAAGCCTAATGATGTGGTTTGGAGGAGCCTTCTTAGTGCTTGTAAGGTTCACCTTAACTTTGAATTAGGTGAGATTGCAGCTGAGAATCTTTTCAAGTTAAATCCCAACAATCCTGGGGACTATTTGGTGCTAGCAAACATGTATGCACAGGCTCAAAAGTGGGATGATATGGCCAGAATCAGAACAAAAATGGTTGAAAAACGCTTGGTACAAACACCTGGGTTTAGTTTGGTTGAAGCAAAGAAGAAGGTATACAAATTTGTTTCACAGGACAAGTCTCAACCACAATGTGGCACCATCTATGATATGATTCACCAAATGGAATGGCAATTGAAATTTGAAGGCTATACACCAGACACGTCACAGGTGTTGCTTAATGTAGATGAAGAAGAAAAGAGGCAAAGACTGAAATATCATAGTCAGAAGTTGGCAATTGCTTTTGCACTAATACATACATCTGAGGGATCTCCCATAAGAATATCAAGAAATCTTAGGATGTGTAATGACTGTCATACGTACACTAAATTCATTTCCATGATCTATGAACGAGAAATAACTGTAAGAGACCGTAATCGCTTCCACCATTTTAAAAATGGAACTTGCTCATGTAAAGATTATTGGTGAATTTCATTATATTTATGCTTAAAGGGTTCTTTTAGAAAAAGGGGTAGATTTTTTTTCCTTTCTTCATAATTCCAATATACATATTTCTTATTTCAGTAAATAGACAACCAGTTAACATAAGATTGGACATTGTGGTATCTCGAGTTCTAATGATGATATGTTGCTGTCCACAACACTCCATTTACTTGTTAGTGAAATTGTAAGCACAGCAAAATAAGCAAAGATGTTGGCCAGTGAATTGATAAATTTGATGATGTGACTTTTATTTTACTTAGGTTACAGAAGACAGTCACAGAAATTCCGGGTTTTTAGAAACACAAAGCAATTGGAGGAAAAACACATTTGTGATTGTGCTATTCTCAATTTTCTCCCCCCTCCCCCAAAACATGAATATCTTGTTGGCCTGATAAGAACCACGTTGCTTAATGCTGCTTAGGACTCTGGATGAGATTAACACACAATCAATTAGAAAATATTTTGTAAGATACACACAAAAAGAAGTATTCAAGCAGAAGTCTAAATGGAATTTAACTTGCTGCACTTGATAAACGTCTTGTGTGTATGAACAAGATTAAGATGTCTAATTTAGTAAAATGCACGCTAATTTAATAATTGATTCATATGAAATTAACATATAGGTATTAAAAAACATACATAATTTAAAAATTCATAAATAAGAACATTTTTAAGATTTTTTTTATCATGCTATATGATTTTTCATATATCAAGTATTCCATTTTTTATTTTATATTTAATTTAAATTTTAAATCTTAATACTCTACCAATTGAAGATATCTTATGTTTAGATAAATTAAATTTTAAGATCAATATAATGTTAATCAATTTTAGTTTAAATTTAATTTTTAAATTTTAACATGCCATATTATTAATAAAGATGTTCTTTAATTTAATTATTATTTAATTTTCTATTTTTCATAGTTTTTATTTTAGATAAAATGTATTTTTAAATTTTTAGAATCTTAATAATTATTTTTTTAATTTTAACATATGATATTAATAAAGATGGTTTTTTTAATTTATTTTAAAAAATAATTTTTTATAATTTTAAAAATAAAAATGATATTAATTTAATCTTATTCAATAAAATAATTCATTATTAATAATAAAAAAAATATTTTTTTAGTTTCTATAATCTATTAACCTTAAAATAATCCAACAATATATTTTAATTTAACAATATTTATACAATACACAGAAATTCCCTAGTTTTACATGCACTTTTGGGATTGTAAAATCATGGTATTTTATAAGTTATTTAAACCTTGCCAAAATTATATCAAGCTACTTAATTTAGGAACCAAATGTCCAAAACATTTAAAAAGGAAAATAAAATCTTTAATGTAATTAAATTTAAAACATACTATAAAACGCTGTCGTTTGATGGCAACACCTTGACATCTTCATCTGTGGTCTTCTTCCTCCGTGGCTATCGTGCTAGGTTTCACAGAGTTGCAGTTTTCATTCATTTCTTCACCCTCACACCAACGTCGCGATCTCGGCAGTGTCTCTTGAGACTGCAAGTAATTAGTAGAAAACTATTTAACTCTCTGAGAAGACCGTAAATCTCTGTGCAGAACATCTAATTAATCACTTCAAAGATGCAGAAATTGGGAGAGTTCAAGCTACCACATTTCTTCAATTACCCACCTTACTTCACGTAAATTCCCTTTTTTACCCTTCATCTCTGCAATTTTTTTACTAGCCATAATGCTTTGGTATCTTTTTTCTGCTAACTAATTTATTAGTTCTCAAACTTGAAAAAACTGGCTTATTTTCCTCCCTGAATAAACAATTATGATTATCCTAATAACTATTTTGTCAATTTTTCTGTCATATTGAATTTTAATTATCCTCATTTTGTGCGTATCCTATTAGATCAAAAGTTCCTGTGCCAAATTTTGGAGAAAAGTCAATCGTTTTATACTTGTTGGTACCTGTTTACTGCATGTCTTGTATTGGATATTTTATCAGGTTGTTTGTGATATTGTTGTGTGTGATTCAATTGTTTTGCCTCTTTTATTTGCAAAACTCATTGTGCAGTGCTTATTGTTAAGATTCTTAATGGAGAGGCAATAATTAACTAGTGGTTGATTATCTGTGACGTTGGCTTCTACCTTGCAGTTTGCAGCCAGTAAGAGATACTAGAGAGAAGCAGATACAGTTATGGAAAGAGCTTATTTTAGATTATTGTAGATCACAGAAGATATTTGTAATTGCACTTGAAGAAGAATTTCCTCTATTTACAAATCCTGTAATTGAAAGTATGCTAAAAAATTCTTGTTTTTATGTCATTTTCTATGGAGTTTACAGGGGCCATAAATGCTCCTTTAGTTATCTGTCTTGCTTATTTTTATCCTTTTTGTTGTATGATTGTCTTCAGATATTTTTATCCTGCAGGGTCTCTTACTCATGAAGCTAGAGAAATTTTCCTTTCAGCATTAGTTTTTGAAGGTATGCTTCATTCATGTCTATGGATTTATGATTCTTTTATCTGGCTCAGAGAAAAATACCTCAAGTGTGTTGTTCTGGTTTGACAGGACGTGCAGAATGGATGGATAAAGGACATAGGAAATGTCTTCTCCTCTGGCATCGGATTCAAGATTGGGCTGACATTTTAGTACAGTTTGTATGTTTAGATTACTGGTTTGATAACCACTGTCTGCAATTAGTTATTTATTGCCTTGTTATTTTATTTAATTTGATTTTGATTAGGCAAAAGATAATGGGCTTGAAGATGGTGTTGTGACGATAGAAGAAATACGTTCAGGGACTGAATCTCATGGAACAGGTAAGCCGTTAATGCTTATAGGTCCTATTTAGGAAGGTATAATTGTGATATGGTTAATATTTAACTTAAATAAACGGTCAGGATTACTTTACTGTTAATCATTTAATCCCGAGTTAATAGAAGGAAGGACCTATTAGAACAGTACCTATACTTCTAAGGATAAATTAGGATGAATTAAAAGTTGACAATATCTACTTGCAAAAGCGGTGCAGTTTAAGGGGTTTACAGTCTTCCTATTTCCTGCATGAAAGGGATACAGTTTAAGGGGTTTACATAGTCTTCCTATTTCCTACATGCTGGGCTTTGTAATTGTTTTTTATTGGATTTGGCTTTCATTTTTTTTAATATACTGCAGAGCTTCATGGAATAGATCGAACTATTTTGAATCGGGCATTGAAACTATTAGAACAGAAGGGAAAGCTTGTGGTCTTTAAAGGAACTTCAACTGATGACGAAGGAGTTAAATTTTCTTTATAAACTGTTGTGTATTAATTTATTGACTCTCGGGAGATTTCAAATATGTAATCAATAGGGGGCATCTTTTACTGTCTACTTGATGAGTTTGTTGTTGTGCAAGCACAAGCTGTATTGAATTGCAATCAATTTTCATTTCGGGTGGTTCCTTCTGTGAAGGGTTTAGCTCGCTGGCTATTCATGGTTAAATTACAGAAACTACACTCCATGTGTGAAATAATGAAATTCGTATATAGAAGTAGGGGTTCCAACATGCCAAAAGCTATTGTGGTTTCAAACATTTATATTATAAAAATTAATGAAGCTGTATCTGTTTCCACCAGTTTCTCATACCACTGCCAAGTTGTTCTTATATATTAATATTACAATTATTTCAACTGCCATTTAGTTTCAAGTTTGGATGAACCATCACTGGCACAGAGTTAACGTTACTTGATTTTTTGTTTCTCATGTTTTTTCTGGTTGCCTCACTGTCTTAACATTCAAAACATGCTTTGCATTGTCATGTAATATTGTGCTGTGTAACTACTAAGTTATTAGAAAAAGGTTATGATTATCAGAATGGTTGAGAAAGGAGAATCATTATCCTGTTCGTCAGAGCTTTTCGTCTGTGAATCATCTATAGATATTCGTCAATGTCAATTTAGTCAGCCTCTTTTTCTGCCAAGTGGCAAATCAAGTTGAGTTTCGTAAATAGGAGTTCTGTAAATTGAAGTCCAAAGATTTCAGAACTTTGGGATTCCAAAATAGTAAAATCATATTGGAATGCATTTACATTTTCGTAAATAGGAGTTTCGAAATTGAAGTCTAAACATTTCAAGCGTGGATATTAGACGGAGCTTGCGTGGTTGGTTACCAACTAGAAGCCATCTAAACTTTTTAGGGATCATGTGTTCTCCAAGGAAACAACTTACGAGGCATTGGAATGTAATATAATTTGTTTCTTTATTTCTAGAAATCTTTAGGAATGTTATATATCTGAGTAAAGATTCATTAAAATTAACTGTCAAATTTAGATATTCATACTCCGTAATAACTTGTTTATATATAATGTGTATGATTGATCAATTCAACTGTTAAATTATTTTATATTATATTAATCATTATGTATATCAAATTTTATTAATTCAAAAGTATATATATGACGTGCATTTGACATGAGCGATATTTATTTTAAAAATTAAATATATGATTTTTTTTCTACAATGGACAATATTTATTTATTAACATTGATGATGAAGATGGTCCCACGTCAAAGAATCTATTAAAAGAATTTTTATTTTTTAGTTCTCTTCTAAATAAAATTATAAATTATTTTATGACTTAATTTGATTTTATGTGTTCATTCACATGAGTAACTAAATTTATAAGCAAGAGCTATGGTAAAACTAATTATATGAATCAACTTATTTTTTGGAATGTAATATATGTACTTATTGTATTTGTCTCATTGTTTTTATTTTATTTTTTAAAATTGATCACATTTAATATTTTTTAGTGGATTAAATAAGAGATACTCCTGCCATTAAACTTTGAGTTAAACTTGAGATTTTGGAGGGTGAATGGCCATTTTAGGTTTCTAATTGGGCTATTAGACTTTGAGTTATTCTTAAATGCAAATAAAATCCATAATAAGCATGCTCATTTCTCATACTGGACATGAAATAAACACCAGACTACTAAGTGTTTGGCTAGGACTTAAGATTACAATTTTACCACACACAACAAACACGATGATTAGAATAAGAAGGTATAATTTTGCTTCTAAGGCAACATGAGCCAATGAGTACCTAATATTTTTCTATTTGCTATTCTTTGGCTCGTCACCCACCATAATGGAAGTGCTCTTTCTCTAGTTGATCGATTGCTCGTTCTAACATCTTCAGATACTTGCTTGTGAGATGATCAGATATCATCTTTTTTTAAAACCTGAGTTCAGCATATAGCTTTCTATTTGTTTCATATAAGTAGACAAGCTTAGCATCAGGATCATTGTGTATTGAATTAGAATTTCCAGACAAAGGTACAGGGACAATATGCAGGATCCTGCCTGGTGGATAAAGAGGGTGTCTACCAGAGCTGTCTGATTCTGTGACTTGACAAGTACTTTCTTCACCATAAACATCTTGGTTCTCTTCTTCACTAGTGTCTTTGGTTGTCATTGCTTCTCTTTCTTGAACATGAATGTTAGGGGTATTATCCTGTTTTTTCATGTCAAACTCCTCTAGTTGCTTCAACAATTCCTCATCATAGACATCACAAACAGTTAGAGAGCTGTTCATATGAACCGTTCTGAAATTTTGATATTAGAGAGCGGTTTCATTTGAACCGCTCTCAAAAGTCATGTTAGTGAGCGGTTCCATATGAACCGCTCTCAGAAGTACATATTAGAGAGCGGTCCTGCCGGAATCGCTCTCTTAGATTTAAAATGGATGGCTGGGGAGATTTTAATACACGTGGCAACATCTGAGATGATTCGCGCTGCTACTGGCGAAAGTTTATTTCGCCCTGCAGTTAGCGAAACCGTTCAGGCATTGACACGTGGCCAAATGTTCAGTAACTTTGACCGACGTCCTTCTTCCTCTTCCGTGACGGTCCTCCTTCGTTTCCATTTTGCTTTTCTCCGTCTCTGCTCCTCCATCATCGTCCTCCAGGCAGAAGTTTCAAAATTTATTTTGATTTGCTGTGAAGGATCAAATACTGTTATGAATTTAAGAGGTAGGGAACTATAATATGCATTTATATATTATTTTTAGTTTGATTTTGTTAATTGGAAAATCTGATAATAATATTGTAATTTTTTTAAACTCTACGTATGCAGGTGATTTGGTAATTAAGTGGGGGTGAGTGAAGAATTTACTAAAAGTTTATTAAAGGTTAGTAAAAAAGAATTTAAAATTTAAATAGTTTTTTATTTATTTATATATAGATTAATATGTTTTTAGAAAAAATGAAATGTGATATAATTAATTAAAATATAAAATTATAATTAATTGTTAAGAAGATAGGTTAAATTAAGATTTATAAAATTTTTTTACAGGAATTATTATAGATATTTATTAAAATACAGAATAATAAAAATTGAGTTAAATAAAATAATTATATAAAACTAAATATAATAATTTATACTTAGTTTGATTGTAAAAAATAATTTTTACACCTATAATGAAGTCAAATTTTAAAATTGTAAAATTTTAAATGCAGTAATCATAATTTATATGAAATGTATGTATAAAATTTGTATGTAAATAATAAAAAATTTTACTTTTAAAAACGTAATATTATTTATATGATTATAAACTAAATGTAATATATGTAAATTTAAATTAGAAAAATAAAAAAATAAAAATATAATTTAATTTTATGCTAGTAATTAGAGTTTTGTATTTATATAAAATTTATGTAGATTTAAATTAGAAATATAAAAAAATAAAAATGTAATTTAATTTTATGCAGTAAGTAGAGTTTTGTATTTAAATAAAATTTGTATGTAAATAATAATATTTTTTACTTTAAAAAACGTAATAGTATTTATATAATTATAAATTAAATGTAATTTATGTAGATTTAAATTAGAAATATGAAAAAATTAAAATGTAATTTAATTTTATGCTAGTAATTAGAGTTTTGTATTTATATAAAATTTGTATGTAAAATTTATGTAGATTTGTATTTAGAATAATTAAAAAATTATATATCTTTAGTTATAATATGTATAGAATATAGGTTAGTATATTTAAAAAGAATTTATTTATTTAATTTTGTTTATATACCTGATTTTTGCATTTATAATATATTGTAATGAATATAATATGATGTCATTACAATGTGATAATGATTTGTTAGAAAATTTGTTTAACCTTTATAAAATATGTATTATTAATATGTTAGTAAAATATAAATTATTATTATTATTATTATTATTATTGAATGAAATTTTTTTACTAATATTTTTTATTGTTGTATAGATGGCATCATCTTCACAACAAAGTAGGGTTATTAATCCCGGGCCAGAAGATTCATCACTTCTTCGGTTTCAGAGTATTCATGTTTCTGAGCATATTTGGGATGGACGTGATCATCCGACATTGAGAGTTAGGAAGAGTCCAAATATTTCCGGTGGATTAGAAGGTATTCCGGAAGAAATTATTCTACATCTGTAGTTAGCGGATTTTGTTGGAGTGGCTAACTTGTCTAAGCTTCCTGTAGACGTGGGATTGATTACTGCATTAGTAGAGAGGTGGAGGCCCAAGACGCACACCTTCCACATGCCCCCTGGAGAGTGTACTATTATCATTCAGGATGTTGCCATTATCTTAGGATTACGCATAGATGGGAGACCTGTTATAGCACCCACTGGAGGTGATTGGGCTCAGATTGTGGAAGACAGCCTAGGTATGAGACCAGGATCAGAGGCTTTTGTAGGGAGTTTCTTGAAGATGAGTTGGTTGGACGAACACTTCACTCATATTGCCATGCATAATTAGACTTCACTGCAGATCACTCGGTTTGCTAGGGCATATATATTGAGGCTTATTGGAGGGTTCATGCTTCCTGATCACTCTAGCAGTAGGGTATCTGTGAGGTACTTGCCTTTGCTTGAAGATTTTGAGTTGACCGGTCAATATAGTTGGGGTTCTGCAGTTCTAGGTTATTTGTACCGAGAGCTATGCATGACCACCAATATTGATCGTGTTGCTATTGGAGGACTGACTGCGTTAATTGTGATCTGGGCTTGGGATAGATTTCCCCAGATAGCACCTACCAATCCTCCCTATAGTCGTCCTTATCTTCCGTACGGTGTTAGGCAAGTTGGTATTGTTATTGCTGGCACTACGCATTTGTAGGTGTTCTATAATGTTATTTGTTTGGCTTCATGTTTGTATGGTCAATTACTTGCAGATGGTTATCCCACGGTATCAAAAAGGGAAAGAAAGATGTCCACTACTACAGATATATTTTTGATCGTCTAGCACGTGATGAGGTATTATAGCCAACTTTTGCTGAGTTACTTATTTAAATAACATGTTAATTACGTACTTTTTTGTTATTAATCTGTTTTGTATGTCATCATACAAATTGTGTGGGTGCCATACAATATGGAACTCATCAATATATTACTACCTATTTGTAGAGACGGT